TGTGAGAACTGGGCTCCGCTAGATCCAAGTTTAACCCGTCAGTGAAGCTGTGGAGGCACCGAGATACCGCATCATCACGCAGACAAACCCGTCTTTGGCGTAGGAGCAGAGAACAGGCCTGCCATTGGTAGATCGGTAGCGCATGTGGATGTGAGAAAGCAAGGGGGCAGCATTGGTTTGAATGTTTATGGATCTGTCCGGCAGCTTCCCTCAGTGGTTCCTGGTAGGAGCAGGAAAACATGGAGTGGCTTCAGTGACTGGAAGAAAACTCACTATTTAGATATTTTCCCCCTTTTTTTTTTTTTTTACAACAAGTCTGAATCTAGAATCTAAACATTTACCTAGATCATAGTAGAAAATCCTGAAATATTCTATTTCCAACCTGTTATGTTTTCTATTTTTATTATTTTATTTGTGTCTGTAATGTTTTACAATACACTTTTTTGACAGCAGTGACTGTACACAGCATCAAACATCAACCAGTAATCTTTATTTTCATCATAAAAGGATTTTGAGGAGACCTCTGGATCAGAATATAGGACTAGGAAAATTTTTTATAAAAGCATAATTATATAGCACACTTCAGTAGAAAGACAGTTCTAAGTGCTGAAACTGAAAAACATACCATAACAGGAAAACATGACTTAAACTTTGTCATCTTGTTTACACAGAATGTATACAAAAAAAAGTTTTGTTCATGACATTTCCATTTCTTAAAGTGCAGCAGTGATTAAAATGTAAAAAATATATGGAGAGAAAAGAAAAAGAATTATGCAAAATAACAGAGCTATCTGGCTGCTTCCGCGAGGCACCGCCGTAAACATACAGAGGAAAGTGTATCACAACAGCATAAAGCTAATCAAATAATTAGTGAATATGAATAATCCAAGATGAATAAAATAAATAATTAAAATGATAAGATAATTATACTAAATTTTAATAAAATTATTGCTAATAAAACGACACAAATTTGGACTACGAACGTTAACTTATAATGTTTAGTTAACACAAATACCACTTTTTAAAAAAATGGATGTTTAATCTTGATTTAAAGAAACTTGGGGTTTTATCCCTTTTCCAGTTTGCTGAGTTTGTTCCAGATTTGCAGAGCACAATATCTAAAACCCACTTCCTTATGTTTGGTTCTGGTTCTGGTATGCAGAGTCGAACAAAGTGGCTGGGTGGTTGATCCACTGACTACAAGTCTGTAATGTATATTTTAGTAAAGTCATTCAGTGATTTATAGGCTAACAGAAAGATTTTAAAGTCTATTCTATGAGATACAAGGATGCCAGTGAAAGGACTTTAGAACTGGGCTGATGTGCTCTACTTTTTTAGTTTTAGTGATGATGCTGGCAGCAACGTTCTGAATCTAGTAAGCTGTCTGATTTACTTTTTAGGCAGATCTGTGGACAAACTGCAGTAATCAGTCCTAATAAAGATTAATGCATTTATTAGTTTTACAGGTCCTGCTGAGACATAATATATATATACTTTTATTTAGCTTTTATTGTGCTTTGAAGGTTGAGGTCTGATTCCATCACTACACCCAGATTTAGAACCAGATTGGTGGGTTTGTAGCTGGAATAGCTTATGCTGTGTGCTAACTTTTAAAGGCTTTTCCTTTTTCACCACATGGGATTATTCTGCTCTCTGATGTAAAGTCACCTACTGACACAAAAAAGGCCCTGTACCTCAGGTAGAATTTAAACCAATCAAGCCCTGTACCAAACAGGCAGAGCCAGTTTTCCAGGCACTCTAATAAAATGGAGAGATTAACAGTGGTGAATGCTGCACTGAGGTTCAATAAAACCAGCAGTGTAGTTTCTCAACAGTCTGCATTTATAAGGATGTCATTGAACACCTTGACAAGGGCAGTCTTTGTGCCGAGAATGGAAGGCTGACAGAAAAACGTTTAATGGGCTGATCATTGTTAGGAAGGTGTTTAGCTGCTGAAACGCAGCTTTTTCAATAAACTTATAAAGTGAATGACTGAGGAAATAAACTGTTTTTAAAGCTATTATCATAGACAATCCAAGCATATAACTATTAGTGGGCAGTTAAATATTCAGTAACTCAGCTGAATATTTGATGAACTAAATTGTTTGAACCTAAAGTTCACTGAGTAACAGTCAATCCTTTAGAAAACTAAATCCATCCTAAGCCAGCCTAACCATGTTCTCAGAGCTCAGTTTATGCTAATATCCTCACAGTGGCACTATGCTGTTCCCAACCAGAAAACCAGTCGATACGCAAACTCCTTTATTCCCGTAGCCATTCGGCTTCTACCCTTTACCTGAGATGTTGCCATTTAATTTATTTGTGTTTGTTTGTTTATTTATTTTTGTTATAAAGTAAAAAGTAAAGTTTCAAAAAAGTTTCAAAAAAGTTAATAATTCGCCAATAAAAAGTAACGTTTTGAGTAAAGATGCACATAAAGAGTTTTAATATTTTTTAGTGCAACACATTTCAAAAGCAATGTTATCAAGACAAATCTGAATATTGTTTTGTTCTGATTATTTTTGGAACCCCATGATTTCAAAAGAAAATAGCTTCTTCTCAAAATCTTATTTTCAAAAGACAAATGTTGACACAGATTTGAGTGAAGATATGGGATGTATAACCTGATGCTCTAACTCGGCATTGTTTTTTTATTTTTATTTGGTTGTTTGAATTGATCACTTCTATTGTTACAGTTGAATTTTTCTTCTGTTTATAGCTGAAGCAGATGGATTGTTTTGAAATAATGTGATACAATCGATTTATTATGCAATTGTTAATCTAAAGCTGAACTCTGCAAAGAAAAAGTGCTGCACCACATGTCGAAGGTAAACACAGAAGAGGAAGCTCTAATCTGTGTCTGACAGTGGAGCAGAGTTTAACCCAGACTAATACGCATTGGCTTTACTAACAAATCCCCCAGGATTAGGAGGAAAGAGAGGGAGGATAGACATACAGAGAGGCAGGAAGGCAGTAAGAGAGACATTCCCCACGTAAAACATGATGTTTTTCACGTGTAATTTAGCTGAAAACATAGAGATATAAAGAATATAAAAGCAACGATTCTGTAATACTCTGTTTTTGTTTTTTTTACTTTATTTCAAGACTCTCTTTTGGCTACCATTCATTCATCCTTTCCGCTGAACTGCTGCTAGTTTTAATCACATGTCTGGAAGATGTCTAGTGCTGCTACCACAGATGATCTCTCTCTCCAAATGGAATTGAACGATTCAGATTAGCTAGCCGAATGAATAAAAGGGGTAGAGCGTAGCCGCCTGTGGCCCGGGTTGCCTGTCACAACTCCAATCCGGCACATCGATGACGTCATACACACTCCGCTTTGTTTAAAAAATATATATAAATATAAAAAATATAACCGTGGATGTCTGGGCAACAGTGATTCACCTACATGTTATGAATGCTGGCGTACCATAAAGAATAAATTATAAACAGTTTAGTTTGTGCCTTCAAGCTGATCGCCCATAGGAAGATGTTACTTGGATATAACAAAACCGAATATCTTTGGAACAGCTCCAAATGACAAAAAGCTCACATGGGTAAGTAGAACATGAAGTAGTAACGTAAAATCAAGGGCGCAATGTAAAAAAAACTGCGTTTCCCTTTAAATTGAGGGAGTGGTCTCAGGTTCCAGCTCTCAAAAACCTACAATGCAGCGATAGAGTCTATTCCTTCCCGCTATCATCTTAAACCTCATCGCCATGTAGGTGATTAAAACATTGCCCCTGGTCAGCCAGGCCAACAATGACCCTTACGACCCTTTTCAGAGGCATGGGCCAGTATGGGGCCTTGCAGGCCAACAACGACCTCAACGACTCCCCGCCATCACTAAGGGTTGAGCCTGATGGTCCTGATCTTTCTTTTCAATTTGCATGTTTTCTAAGACATAACAAGGCATTTTTTGTGGCACTCTATAATCCTGGACCTCAAAAGTTACTACAGACATTTTGAATTGAGAAAGCTTCCTGGATGGGAAGCAAAACGTCTTCAAACTTGGTTGGTAAACAAAGTCCAGTGGATTTTAACTTTGTTGGAACCCTCACTCAATGGTTTTTAATCTGTTCTCCTTATTCTTCCACCATATTTGATAAATCTTTTAATAAGAAAGCCAGGCGTTTATAAACTCTGATTTATGAATGTCCTTCAATTTGTAGGACAATTTGTCACCTCAGCATTAATTGACGTGGGCAGACAAGTGTAAGGATTTCAGCACCACTTGGAACAAATTAGTCTCAACTTTACATCTGAGCCCTTGTGACGCTCAAATAATTTAAAATCCTTATTCAGTCATTGAAATCAATTATGTCTTGGAGTAAATGTGTTAGGTGTGAGTTTAATGCTCTGAATTAGTTTTATCTGTTGTAATGTACAGTATGGTATGCTGCTGTCCTCATGGCAAAGTCTCTATTGCAGAAGATTTTAAATCTCAGTGGGACAAACCTGGTTAAATAAAGGCCAAATAAACTTATATCTAGGAGATGTATATGGGACATGAAGATTTCATCTTCAATTTTTCTTTGCTTAACATCTGTCGACCCCACATATCCTGGTCATAAACTGTTTCCTTTTATGTCGGCGCTGCTGAGATCTAATGGCAAAAACTGGCTGACATGGAGACACTTTCTTCCCTCAGGCGGTTTCTCTAAATAACCACAATGAACAGCTCACAGACTACTCTGCTTTTTGCATGATCAAAACCTGCCCTCCTTTTAAAATAAATAAATAAAATGGCTGTACACGCCTTTCACATACTGCTCCTTGTACTATAAAGCGTTCTAAGATCATGCAGTTTGATTTTTAGGCAGTGTATTGTGATGTAAGCAACTGACACAAGCTTGGCCAATAAAGTTAATTTTAAATTGTGAACTTCCACCAAGCATTCCCTCACATGACTGCATTTTTATGGTCATTCTTGGAAAAAGCAATCAGCTTAGATGTGCATACTGTATACTTGGATGGATTAACCACACAGGAGGCAGTCCTGCTTTGGACAGAAGTTTTATTGTTCTTGGAATGTAACTTCTTCTTAACACATCATGTGAAAACAGAAAGGTCTCTGTGGTGTTACATAAAAGCTGTGACGTACATTTTCACCGCTTCAGTAAGAGACCTTCTTTAAGGCCACACACTGAGCCCAATGGGTGCATTTCAACACAACAGAAACTACACCTGAAGCACAGTACTCCACGTTACCTCTTGACCTAGTTTCTTTTCCTTTTGTCTTCCATCCACAGTCAGAGACAATTTAAAGTAAAATACCCAGCATTAGCAATCCTTAGATCCAAAACTAAAAAAGGAAAAAAAGGCTTTCTGCCCTCTACCAGTCACTGATTTAAAGCTGCCATTTATAGGCATCAAGCAGGAACCTCCAAAAACTTGGTAGCAAGTTAGAAACTAAAAGGCCACAGAACTGGAAAAACGCTTCAAACTTAGCTTTGTTTGTTTTTTTTCAGCAGCTGTCATTTTTTGAATAGTTTACCATATTATTATAAAGAAGAAAACCTAATGATGGCACCTGAACTATTCTCCATGAAAAAAGCTGAAAGGCTAAGACAACAAAGGAACATGTTTGAAACAAAAAAAATCATTCAGCAACAATGAATGACAGAGGACATATAAAAAAAAGAACAAAGAGACTGTAACAGTGTCAGAATCATAAAAAAATGCCTCTTACATAGATACACCATTGGGAAAATGTTGCATTTCATAGAAAAAAAATCAGAAGGCAACATCGGAGTACATTTAAGGAAATGTACCAACATTCAAGGCAATTAGCTTTAAATGCCTGCAGAGAAGCTGTAATGTCTGCATGAACCATTTTAGAAAATATCCACTAATGTTTACACCATTCCCAAAAAAGCTCACACTGCTGTGTACCGAATCAAAAGGTCAACAACTGGCAAAATGGTCAACACATTGTAACAGATGACTTATGCCTGCAACATAATCACCACTGCTATCAGGCACATGTTGGGGCACAAATATGAGAAGAAAACATTTTATTTTAAATATGATGCGTTGTGTCAAAATTTCCCATGTAAAGGATGATATAATCAAATGGAAACTAACTGAAGGTGGAAGACCAACTAGAGTCAAGTTAGCCTTACCAACACTCCACTTTAAAATCCAGTATGGCTGCTGCACAAATAGCAAATAAAACGCAGTGATAGGTGCAATAACAACTTGTTTCCACAAGTTTTATATCTCATTAAACCAGGCACACAAAGCTCTTGTCAAATTGCCAGAACAAAATGTTGCTACAGTGTTTTAATAGAGGGGAAAAAAAAGCGGTTACTGGTTGGTTTGCTTATTGTAGTCGACCTGGTTGCTAAGAGCAACAAGTAACTCTCTCTGCTTTCCCAAGTCGAAAATGGAGCGCATATACCTGCAAAGATGAATGAAATTATTTTTGGTCTTTTTTAAAATCACACTCTATTCTATTTTTTGGTTGAAAACACTTGAGTTGCAATTCATTATTAATTAATTTTACCTTTTTTTCCTACCTTAACACTCCTGTTCCATCAATACAGAAGTATGATTGAAAATAAGAAAGTTATAAACAAGAAAAAAAAAGAAGCTTAGAAGCACCAACATTTAAGAAGGTGATAATCAACAAATCCTAGTGATCTCAAGTACAAAGCTTTGGAAATGTTTGCACAATGGTACTTTAGAAAAAAAATAAAATAAAAATCAACCAATAGGTTCATTCGCATCCTAGTGCATTTCTGGGAATCTCACTCCAGCATGTGAAAAAAAAAAAAAGCAACCAAAAAGAACCACTTCCTCCTTCTTCTGCATGGCCTCTTCATGCAGCCCAGTCAGGGCGTTGGGGTTGGATGGGCGTCTGACGGCATCTTGGTGCTGAGGAGCGTGTTGATGTAAGGCCAAATCTTGTCAGTCTCTGTTCCAGAAAATGAGTGAAGGATTCCTTGTGATCTGAGGTCAGAAAGGAGAAGACCAGAAGAAATTGATTCTTTTTCCAACATATTAACATTCTATCTCAAAACAGAGCAGTTCAGACTGGAATGTGGGTTCTTAATAAAATCCAAAAATGAAAAAAATTAAATAAACATCCAGCTAATGTAAACTTCCAAATAAAGCAGATATAAAAGAAAGGTAATTTTTTTCTCAAACCATGTGTTACTTTTTCCAAGCTTTCCTTTTAGAGATTTTTTTTTTAAGTGGAAATGGAGGGGAAAGATAAAAGAAGATAAAAAAAAAACAACTTATATTAATAAACAAACCAAAACTGGTTGGGTGGTTGTTGGCGTATTCATAGAAAAACACGGAAAGCTGTTCAACCAGTTATGGTGTTGTGCCCCAATTATGTTGAAACTTGAAACAGCTATGTAAAAAAAAAAACAAAAAAAACCCACAAATATAAGAAATGTAAAATATATAAAATATATAAAACAATACCATTCCGTTCAAACGGCAGGAACTTATGAAGATGCATACAAACCACGTCTAATCTATGAGGTTTGCCTTCATAGACTATATGAAAAAAGGTTATAAAACTTTCTGTTTCAAGTAACAGAAGTTAATCTATGTTAATAGCAAATTCAAAATTCTATGACTTTATTCATTTTCCTGAAAATAATCCAAGTCAGTGTTCCTTTAAGGCAGGGTAGTAAAAGTCACGAAAAAATAAAACTAAAATGGAAGAAACTTTGTTGTTAACTGAAACAAATAAAAACAAATCTAGAGAGAAAAACAATTACCAACTGGAACTGTACTGAATATTAAAACATAACTTAAACTAAAATTATAGATATATACAATTTTTGATTGTGTGTTTATCAATTTATAAACTTTGAAAATGGATGAGAAATGTTTTTTTTATGCTCACAGGAATCAGTTAGTCAGCTTTAAGCAAAGCCGTTTTTGAAAATAGGATCTTTTTTTAATTATTCATATGCAAAAATTTCATATAAAGAGTAATCTGATCTTTTTAAATTCTGTACCTAGAAATTAGCTGAAGTTAAAAAAAAAACTAAAACTGGTAGTAGAACTAAAAAAAAAACAAAAACAAATCTAAGCAGTAATACAATAATAGTGATTAATACAAACTAGCAAACCCATTCTAAAATAGTTGCAACAAAATAAAAGCATACTGATATAAAACAAATCCAAAACTATCATCTTACCTGAACTAAATTAATTGCAAACTGAAATGAATACTTTAATATAAAAATATTCTTCAACCTGTTTTCTGTTTTCCTTCACATCGGTAAACTTGGAATTCTGTAATTCAAGTCTTTGTTAAGAAAAAATGCACTTGATCCACCAATCTTTATCCCCAAAATTATTCCAAATTTCAACTTCGAAATCCCAGATCTTATTAAACTGAAATGACTGTGATGCAGTAGGATATTAAATAACTATAGATGATGATATTAATGATTAAACCTAGATCACCATTAATCGCTATCTAGAAGAAAAAAAATTGCCAAAATATTTTAGGGGGTATTTCTGTTTAATAAATGTGTTCAGAATTGCTGAAACAAAAAACACATTGACTAAACCTTAACAACCACCAAATAACAACCATTACACAGCAGATAACAGGCATCAGAGGGCTGGGGGGTATTTTGTTTCTCTATTTCTGGTTCTGGAGTTCTGGTAGTTCTGGAAAGGAGGGTCCCTCAGATTGTCTCTGGGGTGAGGGATGTCTGGGCCTCCCTACTGAAGCTGCTACCCCCGACCCCGAATAAGCAGAAGAAGATGGATGGATGGATGGATGGATGGATGGATGGATGGATGGATGGATGGATGGATGGATGGATGGATGGATGGATGGATGGATGGATGGATGGATGGATGGATGGATGGATGGATGGATCCTATATAATATTGGTTGATAACAGTTATCATATCGGTGGTCACTATGAAACAGTTGTCGCCAGATCGATTGGGTACCTGTTACTATGGTAACTGTATAGAAATCCTTTCAGACCTTTAGACCTATTCTAAATTGGAAGATCAACTTGATTTCTCTCTTGATGTATCTCTACATCCCTTCTATTGGAAATATAAACGGGATAATGCATTTATTCTTGCTTAGGAAAAGGTTATGAAGATCCTTATAAGTTACCAAAACCATAGGATGCATCAAAACCAAACATTGCTAAGTAGTTTCAGCATGAAAATGAAGTATAAACCTACTTGTACAGGTCGATAACAGGCTTTGCCAATTCCTTGTAGTGTCTGAGTCGTGCCATCAAGGCTTCAGGTTTATCGTCATCATGCTGAATCAGTGGCTCCCCAGTGACGTCATCTTTACCCTGAGGATGGCAAGCCAAGGTCACAACAACTCAAAGCTTCAACCGACAGTTTATTAAAGCCTCGATGGCATAGAGAAATGCATCAAAAATGAAAGCTCTTCATTAAAATTTGGAGTTTAATTCCATTAAGTTTCTTTATGTATTTAAGTCCTCCTAAAAGGTAAATAAATAAATAAATCCCAAGAAAAAAAAAGCTTTTATCAGCAGTTCTCAATGTTTTCTTCCTAAAGCTCACTGTTCTATAAAGAAGAAGAATCCTTTTATTTTAACTGATACGGTGAATCAAATAGCTTTTCTATTTTAAATATAAAAAAGCAGAGTAAGTCTCATCATGTACATGCTGATGGGAATTATTTCATTAAAAAGTTGCCATTTATTGTGAGGAATTTAAACCTAAACATGTTTGTTCTGCAATGTCTTTGAAGCACTTAAAATAATACATCAATGTGGATTTTCTCTAATCTTAACAAATCAATAATTATACAAAAAGACTCAGAAACCCCTCCTGTTATCAAGTTGTGTTTAGTATTTGGATATTAAGCAGCTTCTTCCATATGCTGGATATTTAACAAGCGTTCTCCTGGTAAAGCGGTTGGTGTTCTGATTTGAATCTATTTTTTTTTTTTTATATAAACTTTATTAGAAAAAGTTTTATAATACAGAAAAAGGAAAATTTACAGTGAACAATCACCAGGGGTTTGAGCAAAATAAAATTAAATAAAATAAAATAAAAAATAATTAAATAAAAGTAAAAATAGTAATAATAAATAGAAGCATATAAAGGGATTATATAAATACTTTACATTTAGAGCATAAAGTCATAGTTTTAGCAGCCTTTTTATTATTGGAGGAGGACAATGTAGAAAAATAAGTAGTTGCTTCCTTTAAAAAAGAAATACAGGAGGGTTTAGTCACAATAATTTTACATTTGTGGATATAAAACTTGGCCAACAGTAACAGAGGATTACATAAGAAGAAATGTTCAGAAAGTTCTTTTTTATATTTTGTGATTCCAAATAAAATCTTTAATACTTTAATACTTTTCAAATTTATCATAAATATTGTCCAGAATGAAGCGACAGATACCTTGCCAAAAACGCCTGGTGTGTTGAATCTAGTTATTGTGGCAGAGTTCTGACAGCATTGAGGTCCAAACTTAATATTAGTCTGGTTTATTTCTTAAAAAATAAATCTGATGTGAGTTGGGTATCAAAGCTCTTTTACAAGACCTGATTATAACCTAGTTTGAACCAGCAAGCAACAGGACTATAGATTCATATTCACTCTATTTATGGAGTGAATATTGATCTAGTTATATAGTTTAAATACCATGCTATGATGTATAACTTTGACCTTTTGTATTTTAATCAAAGTAGACATTTTGAGTCGGATGGTTAAAATAGGGGCATAAATGGGTATTCCAACAAACAAGCACCTCAAATACATGATATCTGGTTTTGGAACAGACTTAATAATTCATAGGGGGACGTTTCTGAAACTGCTTCACCAAATTTGGTGACGGCACTAAATGTCCACAGATCCATGCTGGAAACTGAGCAGTTCAAAACCAGCCAAGTAAAGATCCAGTTTTAGTTATACAAGAATCCTGCTGGGGAAAAAAACAGTTTGACACCAGAAATAGTTGGTGTGATAAATGTTTGCTACTTTCTTACCTTTGACTGAACATTTCATGTTTTAGGATCAGTTAAGATTGCCAACAGTTAACTATACTTAAGTGGAGGAATTAAGTATGAATAGTTTATTAATACAAGTATTTTTTGCATTTATTAAAAGAAAATATTTTTGATAAACCTAATGTATCTAAAACAAGAGTTTTATTTTAAAATCATTGAATATCAGTGAGGGAAAAAAGGGTTATGGGTGCATTAACGTTGTTTATGAAAATGTCTGTTTTCATTTCGATTACTAGGTGTGTAACGTAAAATATTTGAGTTTGTATAAATTAAGGTAAGACTCAATTCTCGCTTTAAAAATAACATTTAAATGCACAATCCAGCAAGATGCTGTAATGCTGGATTAAAACACCTAAAAAACTTCAAATTCATTTCCTGTCAGTATCATGCATTTAGAAAATCCTCATCAATCCCTTTTAGTAATAGTAGAAGCCTTTTGTATATTAACCACATATCCTTGCAGAATAAAGAAGGCATCTTGAGTTCTCAGGAAAATAAGATCAGTGTTTTTTCACCTTTTTTTTTTGCCCTTTATCAGCTTCTCTTCTGAAATCTAAATTCCTTTCAGCTTTGAAACACACCCAGCCCATGCTATTGTTACAGACCATCACAACATCCAGATGCTAAGCTTTCAAATGTCCAAGTACCTGCACTCGAGGGGGGTTGAAGCCCATGTTGTAGACTCTCCCGCTGGCTGGGTGGATCCAGCGGTCGCTCAGCCTCTCCCTCAGAGTTTCATAGGGAATGTTGAGACTGATGACCAAGTCCATCTGATAGAGATTGTTCAAGGCCTGAGCCTGTGCCAGTGTACGAGGGAAACCTGGACAAAAGGAAAGCAGAAAACGGTTACAAACCATCTTTTATAATTACACACATCCAGCTTCCATTGGATTTTTCTAATAAGGATTATACAATGAAACTAAAAAGGAAACATCAGTAATACCCTGTTCACTGATTTTCATTGAAATGGCTTGTGGCAATACTCGCAGGAAACAAATAGTAAGTTAAAGAACTTTGTGGCAAAAATTTATTCCCAAGCAATAATGAAACAGGACAAACAACAACAAAAAAAGGCTGCTCTGGACAACTGTCAGTTCAATAACTGACATGCAAGACCAATATGGATGCTTTACAGGTTAACTGATCAGATTCCTAAAATCTACTAGTTTTAATATGTGCATCTAGAATCAACACTGATATGAGAGGCTTACAGGTACTGCAAGGAACACTTTATTTAAATGTTAAACACGTTATTCTCTTACCAACAAAAAGGTGCAGCTTCAAATATCAGAATATAGAATAATTAAATGACATTTCAGTGACTTCACTCAACAAAAGTCAAACTCATCATATAGATTCACTGCACACAGAAATAATTCTCAGTTTCTTTCAGTTCATTTGAGCTTTTAAGGGAGCCTGGGTTGGTTTAATACAGACTTTTAAATAGTCGTCATTGGCCACATCATCTTTGGACCAGAGATTGGAATCTGCATCTTTTTAATATAAGTTTTCCTTCCACTCACATTCAAGTTTACACAGACAGTAAAACTGCCAGGTCAGGTCTCTTCCCCATGGTTGTGTAGGTCATACAGTCAAAAAAAAAAAAAAACTTTTTAATGCAAGATTCTAACTTTCACTTAATATCAGATTTCTTTTTTAGCTGCATGTTTTATCTATTAAGAAAAATAAACTATAGTAGAGAATTTATCATAAGTTTTTAAATAATTTATTTTTTTCTATCATACTCTAATGAATTAAGAGGCTCCTGTAAGCACAACCCTGATTTGTGTCCTTCTTCACTCATCCTTTACTTATTTAATATTTATGATGCAGCGTTTAAACATTTACAGCTTTGCTTCATCAATGTTTGTCACAGCGGGTAATATTTCAACTATGAGAAAGCCTCGGTGACCTCCCTCTTTTTGTATGTGTTTGTGTGTAAATGGGCGTGGTTCCACACGCAAAGTATTTTAACCAAACAATGAACCCATTTCTCTCACTATGAACACTCAACATGGTGGAAGACGTTACACCACACCCAGAGAATACAGACAAACCCAATCTAACAAGAACTATGACAAACACAATAGCAATCTTTTACCTCTGTGTACCCTGAGTCAAAACATCTATTTAAGCTACCTGGATTTAAATTCTACATGAAAGGTAAAATGAGATGGATCACTAACTTCAAGAGTTCCTGCTGTTCTATTTTCTTCATATACAGTACCTTTAGGGTCCCTACATGTGTTTTCCATGTCAAAATTTCATAGTATTTCAGACTACATTTCCCAGAGACCATTGCCCTTTCTAGCACATTTTTAAGTAATACTATATACATGAATATGAATTCATAGCAGGTATTTTCCACAATGATAACGCTCTAAATGATGAAAACAGATATGTAAAGGAATGGTTAAAGAAACAAATGATAATTTGAGTGATTTATAGGTAAGCAATGGATGGATTGATTGAAAATTAAAGAATAAATTGATAAATGGCAGGCAGATTGACAAATGTACAATAGAGAAAAAGACCAAGAATTAATTGATCGACTCATTAATGGCAGGAAGATAGACCGGCATAGGAACGGTTAAAGATGACGGCGTCGGTTGCAATGTCCCAAGGAGCACCACACTAAAAGATACAAATGGACTAAACATTCTCAAAAAATATCCAAGGCCTCATGTTACTCTTCATTGCAGCAGGAATCCTGCAGCTCCAACAACAAAATGTTCTGAAATGATCAAGTGAAAGATAACAGGAAGACAGCAGCAGAAAATCCTTTACATTCATCTATTCTGAGAAACAAACTCTATGAGAAATATTCTAAGGAAGTTAAGGCTAGTTGAAAAATACTTGGTGGGTAAACACTTCTATAAAATATATATAAAATAAAATATATTTTGGCTAAAAAAAATAAAAAATAAATTGGTTGTTCATTTGTGAAATATTCTAACAGTCAGCAAATTTACAATCCTTTGAGACTTTTTTTGCCCTCGTTCTTACTGAATAAAATTTAGCCAGAAAACTTTTGAAAAAGGCAAGCACATCACATTTTATGAATACTTACTTTATAACATTTATAGTTAAAAAGAAAACTATAAATACAGGTAAATAAAACTGTAAATCCAATTATATGTTTTAGAAGAAGAAAAATGTAAAGACAGAAAATGAAAAAAAGAACAAGTATTGTTGTCGTTTTATCAGTTAGTGCCCTTCTTCCATAGAAATGTTATGAAAATATAACAGGTTAAAAAAAAACTTTTCTCAGGTCTTTATAGTCTTTGGCCGAAGTTAAAAAAGCCATTATGGAGGGCATAAAAAAAAGCCTGTGGCTGCAGCCACAGGTTGAAGACTCCTTGCTTCAAGAAAGAATGAAAGAAAATTCTACATGATCCTAGCTGTGGAGTCTGGTAAAGTGGCCATTAAAGTTTAGGTCTGGCTCCATTCCTCAGGAGCATTGAGTTCAAATCTGGCCCAAGACATTTCACAGGATACCAAAGCCAGGCAATCCCTGAACTGGAAAAGTTAAATGATGCAAACAGCATAAAACCAAGTAAATCAACCACAGGATTGGTTAAAAAAAATCTGCTGGAATAGTTAAACCAAATTATTTCCCATGGCTTGAAAATAGTCATTTAATAAAAAGAAAAAAAAGGTTTGAAAATTAAACGAGCTGAACTCAAAATGACCACAAAGATTTTCTTCTATTGAACCAATTAAAGGGTATTCAAAAAGAAAAGTTTTCCATCTCAAGTGACTTTACCAGCCACCACTGTGAATGATTACTGCTCTGTCATAACATGAAAGGTACAAGAGGCTGTTTGTAATTGAGTTAAATCAGTTAGTTTTCATCAATAATTGAATGTTTAAATATTCAAGTACAAACACAATAATTAAGCTTCCTTATGTTTCTGGGATCTATAAAATCAACCCCCTACAGAATGTGACTACAGAATGTGACTTTTATATGTAGTTGTAATGAATATATACAGACATTTTTCTGAAATTGCAGCAGTGTTTACATATGGTCCTGCTCTTAAATTCACTGTAGCGATTTAAGGGGTGGCATCAGCATGGGCCAATCAGATTTAAGGGTTAGCTGGCAGTTCCCACATCCACCTTAAGGGTGTATGATATTTTATTACAATGATTCACAACAAAGAACTGAAACAGTTAGATGTAGTTCTGCTTTTTTCCCCTCTGCATTAGTTACATTTAGTAAGCAGATGGAAAAGAGGCAGAAAATGTAAAGTTTCTTACCATCTAGCAGCCAGCTGTGGTTCTTCAGCTGCTCCAGTTTGGGCAGCATCAGTCTGGTCATCACTTGGTCAGGAACCAGCATGCCCCTCTCTATGTAGGTCTTTGCCAGCACGCCTGCCTCTAACACACGACAGCCAAGTAAACATAGAGTAGAGCATGTTTGCATCTGCTTCCTGAAGTCAAAGATTTGAAGAAAAAAAAAGGAGGGAAAAAAAAACAGGAGAAGACAGAGCCTGGCCTGTTGGATCCACATCTGACCAGTTTCTGTTTCTGTCAGAGCAACCCTTAAGTTTGTGATGGAAGCAGTGGGGTCTCCTGGGGGTTGTTGCATAAATACTTCCAGAGTCACTGAGTTTAACACACAAACATCTTTAACTGACCTCAGAAGGAAAAACAACAATAATAATAAAGAATAGGGGCCAATTCAACAAGTCCCAGCTTTTTAAGAACTTGGTGATTAACTTTAATGTCACTTTATGCATTGCTTACAAGTGGATTCAAATATTACTAGTTGGGGAATTAAATGAAACGTTTGTAGATATTGTAATGTAGCTTTACACCATTATAAAGGCAACGAAATGTCTGTAAGTCCTGTCAACACCAGAATGTTTTTTTTTTTTTTTTTTTTTTTGGGGGGGGGGGGTATCTAGAGTGAATGACCTGAGGTGACACCAACGAAGCGCTGCAGCTTTTTAACTTTTCTTAAACAACCAAAAAAAAAAAAATGTAATTAAAGAGTTTTTATTTAATTGCAGAGTTTTCTGAGACCATTTGAACCATTGTTTCTTTCAAATCATAACATCTTTGCAGAGGAAACCCCATAATTGGGAAATTAGACATGAGAAAATGAGTCATTTAGGGTTAGTATCTTCCTGTGGAAATTTCTGACGCTCCTACCTGTGTTGGCTGCAATGCCCTCGCGCAGAAAGTGGCCACTGGACAGGTACTGCAGGCCAAAGCTTTCTGCTATTCTCTTACAGATCGTGCCTTTTCCAGATCCCGGCGGACCCAAAACAGCGGCACGGAAAAACTTGGCCATCTCCTCCTACAATGTAAGGCGTGTCAGATTTGCTCCAGATTTGGGTTTGCACCAGATATGTCGCAAATTTCTATTCAGCTGCACATGAACAACCAAAGCAACGCTTTGAAACTCTATTTCAGCGCGCCAGGAGGACCGTGTGGATCTTTACGCGCTGCCTTATATCTGCGTGCAGCGGAACTGTTCCCCTCAGGCACAGGAATGAAGTCAGAACGACTGTTTTTTTTCCTCCTTCTCTCGCTCCTGCGGACGTGGGTAGCTCGCCTGCGTCTTTAAGAACAGAGATTGTCCTCCGCGAATGAATGAGGGAGTCTCCACAACGCCCTATTTTGCTGCGCGCATCATCCAGGAAAAATGCGGAAGGATTTACTGGCGGGGGAACGTGGTTATTGTAGTTTTTTAACAATGTTTACAATGTGGACTGTTTACATCATTTTTTAATCCACCAATGACCAATGTGACACAAGTTAAGTAAAGCGAAAAAGCTCTAAATAAGGAGAAATAGAGAGGAGCCCAAATATAAAGTTTTTAGGAGAACTCTAGTTGTGACACTTCTGGTGTTGTTCTGCAACACTTCCGGTAGGCTTAGAGGAGTACACGTAATCGTAGTTTACCAAATGTATATAAAAGATTTATATTTATTTATATAAATTAATATATAATGCACACACACACACACATATATATATATATATTATTCATAATGATCCCTTACACCCCCACTATGGACTGTTCTCCCTGCTGCCCTCTGGGAAGAAGCTTTAAAGTTTAAAGCATCAAATGCAGGTCCAGATTCCATGACAGTTTCTTCCCCACTGCCATTAGACTGCTAAATGTTGTGTAAAATTGGTTATTTTATTTATAAAAACAAAATATATATATTAGAACTGTAAATATACAGTCATATGTTTATATTATAATTTTTTTATGGATTTAATACTGTTTTTCAAGGCTGCACTACAAAAAAGGAAATTGTCTAGAGCTGTTTTAAACATTTGTTTTTGTATACACTCGTGTATACAAAACGGCAAAAAAAAGAAAGAAATATATATATATATATATATATATATATATATATATTGAGAAGACTGCACATAAAACAGCGCCCTTATACAGATACAAAAATTTTGTTACAATAGACAAACATTATTTGTTCTTCCTTTTGTCCCTCTCTTCTTATCCTTTTTCTTGCTGTTTTCCTCTTTATTCCCTTTTTCTTTTCATATTGACAATGTTATCAGCTGACTTTTCATGCTATCTTAAAAGGAATCAAAGATTTGCCAATCACTACGCTCATTCTAACTTAGCTGATTACTCCTTCCTGTTGTTCCAAAAAGGTGACAGCAAAAGTAAATAACACAATCCTTTCAGTGTAGACAAGCCATGATCTGCTTATCTGTTCTCCATTTTTCATTTAAATGAAATAATAGCTGCATGAATCATGAGAGCAGACAAGATAGAGGAGAGCAGGATGCAGGGTTGCCAATCTACTTGCTCAGGAGAGCAGAGTTTGTTGCTTTAATATGTTGTCACCAAAGTCTCCAGTAGCAGAAAAAAGTCACTAGATTTGGAGCTAAGCGCTTTTTTGTAATTAAGCGCTAGATGGGTTTGAAAAGTCATATATAGCGACAAAAGTGCTAAGTTGGCAACACTGCTCTTCGCATTGTTTGTTTTCAAATCATTTGCTGCTGTTTGTTTGGACCTTTCTGAACATGTGCAACAAATTAACTGATCCATTCCAGAAAAGCAGTTTTATGGGCCCCCCAGGAACTTAGGGCCCTTGGCAACTGCCTAGTTTTGCCTAATGGTAAATATATATATTTATATGAATACTACTTTGCCCTGTTAAATGCTATTTAATATGTTATACTTTAAAAAAAATCTAATTTAATGTTTCTGAGTACTGTCATTAATATCAGTGTCATTAATGCTCTATTAATATAAGTTCAGTTGTTTTTAAGTTTTTACTGTTGACACTCACATATTACTTAATACATCTTTCTATTTTGTCCTATGTTCTTTCTTATTAATTTATGTAAAATTTAGATTTTGTCCTCAGATTTGCTGTGAAATTCTAAGGAATGTTTTGTGTTTAATGCTGTAATATACAGTAATATGCTAGTCCCTAAAAGGGCTATATATTTTCAAGTAAAGAACATAAAGGATGCTTGTTCTGAAAAATAAAATGCAGCTAAGCATTTACGGTAAAACAGATGCTGTAATCTCCTATACTGTTTACATACTGATCACTGCTGCACTGTATAATGGAAATGTTCATTTCACTCCTGTAAACTTTAAGCAATGTAAAAAAAATTTATAAACTTGGTGTATACAAAAGGACAATAAAGTTTGTCTAAGTTTAAGTAGTTGACCAAAACCTGTAAACATCTTGTTCTAATGTGGCTTTATCAATTAGAATTGATACTAGCAAACAGAGCATGCCTTAGACAAAGAGTTGAGCTTCTGGTTGCATTAAATCTTCAGACGGGCTCATTGAAAATTTAGCACAGCTTTGATATTTGTCTACTATACATTTAATTGGATGATTTTGAAAGACTGCGATAGATTGGCGACCTGTCCAGGATGTACCCCGCCGTTTGCCCATAGACTTTATAGGCAGCAGCCCCATCATGGCCCTGATACGTGTAATACGTAAAAAGATGAATGGATGCACTTTGCAATAGCCACTTTAAACAGTTGATATAGTTTCATTTAAACAAAATCAGATATAGATTTAGGGGGTGGCGATTCTAAACTAAATTTGCCAAGAGGATCATGGTGGGGGCAGTGCTTTTAATGTGGGCACAGAATTAACCTAAACAGGTGGCAACAGTTCTTTTAATGAGCTCTTAAAGGGGCGCTATCACACAACATCCCTTTAAAAAAATAAAAAAAAAAACACAAAAAAAACCATGTTAAAAGAAAACATTGTATGGCAACCATTCAACCCTGTATTTTTACCTAATAAATTTGGAGGATGAAAATAATTTTTGCACCCAGCAGAATCAATATCATTTTGCACCGCCGTCGCCATCTGCTGGTAGTATTTACTTGCGCATTCATCATCTTGCTAGTCTCTAAGGATTTATCGCATGCTTTGATGAAATCCACTGCTCATATTACACTCTGGGCGCTACTGACGTTTTTTTTGTCTCTTGGAATCTAATTTTTTGTTTTGCTCTTTTCTTGGCTCCATTAATTTAGGTCTTGTAAAATCAAGCTAATGTGCAACATCCTAATTTGAAAATTACAGTATTGGCAAAACTAAGAAAGCCATAAGATAAAATCTTTGAACTAGTTACAGTTTCTATTCCAAAGCACATAATCATAATAATTTAATTTAATGTTATGTCTGTAGTAGAAATGCAAATAAAAGGGGCCAGGACCGGTTCTACATGGGCACTGGCCCCCATTGTCCCATCTCTAGAACAGCCAATGAAGCTGATTTATAAGTAGGGACAATTTATCCCTGCCATTGTGTTTGTCTGTGTAGACGATTTTTTATTATTTTGTATTCTGTTATTTCAAACAAACAAAAAGTAATAGTCTGCACCTTCTTTGAGATAATTCGCAAATCAAACAAAGACTGATAAAACCTAGTGTTGGTACTTCTATTAAATCAAATATTTCAGTTAGTTTGGTTTTATTCTGATTTTAATTTGTTACATAAATTTGCATTTTGAGGCTACAAATAAATCTAAATAAGGTGAAATATCCATCAATGAGTTATTAAATTAAATTTTTCTAATTCATAATACACTGAAAAAAGAATGCAACCGATTTTTGCATTTACTTAAAGTCATATTTATATATTAACTTTATCACAATTGTTTTATGTCCTACCCTGCTAACATGAAAGAATTTTGTTAAAGTAACTAAATATAATTAAGTAAATGCAAAAAAAACGGTTGCATTCTTTTTTTTCAGTGCCACAAGAGGAAGTTTAATAGAGGCTTATTCAGAAATTACTCTGAAATGGTTCACAGATAACTGCTGTAGCAAGAGCATCAACAGGATTACAAAGCAAAGACCTTTCAAGCATTTGGCCTCAGCTGTGACATTTAAACACTGACCTGTGAATATTTCCCAAATTCTTTACATAGCTTTCTTTACATTTCCCTCAAGACTGCAGCTTTTCCTATAACCAGAGCACATTTCCTACTACTTGTTTCCTTCCACTCAACTTTACATTCACAGCACTCTGTTCTGGAAGCTGACTACATGCAGGGCAAAAGCACTTCTCCTGATTGGTGGGTGTGCATTAACAGTTACATGATATTTAAATGTTTTTTTGTTTTGTTTCTTTGTTGTTTATGTTGTATTATTTTCTGGGAAACTCCTTTAATCATGAAAAAAACAAGTAAATATTTGACTTATTTTATAACATGATTATTGAGATGCGCGTGTATTTAGGGATGTCATTTTTCGCGCTTTGTACACTTTGTTGGATTTCACCACTTGTTGAGATTTTATTAAATAAAATCAGCAGATTTATTTTGTATTTTGGGATGTTTCTTTTCAAGCAGGAGGCGCAAATAAAAGGGGGGAAAAAATATGAGTTGCATGTCATTTGCAGACGGAAGGAATCCAGAGAGTACTTGTTGCGAGCCATACGGCGGCGGCAGCGTCCCGTAGCTGTCAAATATTGCGCACAGCCTCCAGTCGTCAGTCAGTGGAGTAACCCAGACTAATCCATCAGGCAAACACCTCGGAAGACTGACGTTTTTTTATTTCCACTAAAGAGTCTCCCCGATAGGATCGGAAGCTACTCTTTAAATCTTAATCTTTTTTTTAATCTCCCTTTTCTTTTGTCACATGGCTTTGAAGAATTCAATAACAACAAAAAATGGCGACAATCACGTTGCTCTGTGTGGTCTTGCTGCGTCATTAAAAATATTCATGTAAACACGGGGAAATAAACGAGGTAAGTTCGCTCAGTCTTTGCTACAGAGTTAAAGGAATAAGTGTGTATTTAGGAATAAATTGTTATTTAAATCCAAACCGCATGCTTTTTGTTTTTGCACAGAAAAAAAGGGGTGTGTGCGCAACGCTGGGCGTTAACGCGTTTCTGCACAGCATTCACTCAAAGCACCGCATTTAACCTACAATAAATAATCTTATATAAATACATTTACTTAGAACAGCTTAAGAAAGTGTTTGTATTATATAAACAGTTCAGCCTATATTAAGACATGTTTGTTTTCTTTTTTTTCTCTTTATAGAGAGCAGCAACAAGCGTTGGCAGTTCTCCTGCTTTGCTTATTATTAGTACACGTATCATAATATGGTTGCTACAGAGGATGTTATTCTTATTTACATTGAGCGTTTGCGCAACATGGGGTCGCTTTCATCACAGGGGATGTTTCTACATCACGGTGGAGGAACGCTGGGTTTGATGTCTGGCTCTGTTTTAGTTCTCGCACAAGTTCAACTCCCTTCACGTCTGACACGAAGCGTTTTGGCCAGAGCCTTGTGCTGCGGGGGCTAATGGAGTTGTTTACACGAAGTGCACAAAGGCGGAGCCAAGACGGGGGAGGGCGTGGCTCCAGATCCTTCACGCGCCAGGAAAGGGGCGGAGCTCCAAGGCGAGAATCAAAACAAGTAGTTTGTCTGAGGCACCTTGCAGAAAAGGAGGGAGAAGAATGATGTTTTGTTTTTGATTAAAGCTGAAGTCTGTAAGTTTTTTAAATCACTTTTTTGTCATTTTGGCTAAAACTGTCCCTATGCCCAGACAGCAGTACATGTGATATGTAACCTGTGAAAAAAACTGCTTCAATTGGTCCTGCATACTGCCTGTATTTCAATCTGGAAAGAATAATTCGGGACGAGTCAAAACAACCAATCACAGCCAGAGGAGCGTCTGACTGAGTGTCAATCACAGCTCCCCCCCCTCACCGCTTAACCTGGACGCGCGTGGAAGTCATGGCGGAGAGACAGCCACCAGCGAAAGAGAAACTGCCCTTACTGCCCCTGCCGATAACTGCTTACACGGCAAACTTCGGTATAACCAGCATCTTATATCTAGCTGCTTGGAGGTGAGTGTTATCGCTCTTACCGGTTCACACTCCATGCCGCGTACGCTGCTTGGATGCTTGTGGTCGCATGCGGTAGCCGCGCAGGTGCTGTGAGAGGGGTGGGGCTTGGAGGTGGGGCATGAGTGAAGCAGAGAGGGTGGGGGAGTGGCGTGAAACCTGTTTTTCTTCAAATTTTCAGTCGAAGTCTGCTCTCTTCTCAATGTTACAGACTGCTGCTTTAAATGAAGCTTTAATCAGGCCTGCAAATGAAACTGGGTTAACATTCAATATTGGCTGATGTGGCCCTAAAGAAGGGGAAGGGTCGATTTGCCAATATGTGTGTATTTAATATTATGCAATAGTTAAACACAAGGATGGCAAGCTTTATTTATTAATGCATTTTGTTGCTCTTTATCCAGTTATCTATTGATTGTCAAAAGTTTACTCCGGCTTAACACTGGGGCTCTCATATTTAGGTTGATATGCTTTTCCGTTTGGAGTTTTTTTAAACTATGGAAATCTAATTTTACAGGAAAAAAAAGTCACACTCATCAACAGGTGACTGTTATATGAACTCTTTCAATTGTTTTTTTTTTTTTTTTAATAGAAAATATATTTTAACCTCTTAACATCCACCTCATTTAGGGAAATTCTCGCCTATTTTGCACACCCAAATGGAAAAGTAAATTGCTTAGGAACTCTACATTTACAGTCATTACTGTTTTTATATATATATTTTTTTTTTCTTAATATTTTTCAAGGCTGCCCTTTTCAAGAAGTCCAGAGAGAGCTGTTCCAAATGAAATTTCTTTTTTGTTATACACTTGTGTAAACAAAATGACAAATAAAATCAGTCTAAGTCTCTAAGTAAGCCCAAAGTACAGGTGTGATATGTTATTTGAAAGCTAACACATTCTAGTTTTTGAATATATGCATGAAAATTAGGTGAGTAAAACACCCAAGCTGCATCAAACCCAAGCTTCAAGTTGCACACCAAAGACTCAAAGTTGTTTTTTAGTTCTCGAAAATAATAGGTCTTTTTTGAAAAGCAGTAATAAAGACATGCTTTCTTGTTGTGGCTGCTTTGTCATTGTACATTTTGACATGCTGCTATATCTGTGTTAATTATGCTTTGGTCCTCGCTATGTTAATAAAATGAACAAGGTGGTTGAATTGTGGAGAATCTAAAATTTCCAACGATGTCAAAAATGTCTATATTGATAAACATTTTACCTATGTAATTTTCATGCATTCTGAGTTATTATTTGTAAACACTTTAAAACGGCAACTCGGTGGGTTTTTAGGGGTTAAGGTTTTAGAAAGATAAAAAAAAAATGTATTTACTAAAAACTTTTAGATCTTTTCTTTTTATTTATTCACTGTGTATGTTTTTTGTTGTTCTAAATTTGGCCCATAAAACATGAGCATTTGCAAATATTTATCATTTTAGGATCTAAAGAAAGCACTTTAAAAATAATACCAACCAAAAATAAGTTGATTTTATTTATAGAAACACAGAAGTGCTTTACTTGACTTGTTCAACCAAGGCTACACATTTAGATAAAACTAAAAAAATATATATTTTCTTACTCTTGGTCATGGTGTACTAGCCAACAGTTTTGTGTCCCTCTTTTTTTGCACCCCTAACAACCTCCTTCTGGAACATTTAGGAATTAAACAGAGACTGTCATAGTTTAACAGATGATGCATTATTAATTGTTTTTACTTTTTGTTTTTATAAAGCTAACAAATAACTGTTGGCAGCTATACAAATATTATAAAGTATAAACAAAGCTCTAATATTTGCCTTATATAAGTCACCTTCTACCCGCTGCCCTGTTGGTGTCACTGATATAATTAAGATACTCTTTTATTATATAGAAAAATATCTAAAATAAAGCTATGACTCTTTTCCAGACTGAAATAAACAATTGTTGTGGAATGAGATGACTACAGTCCGGACATAACGTGGGAATGACAAATGAAGTGGAGCCACCAATGCTCCCAGACCTGACAGGCTGCCCTGGTTCAGTTATCACAGTGCTGATGCTGTCCCCATCGAAGGTACAGTACTGTGATAACTGAAGGATGGCTGCCAACTTGACACTGGTGTGATGATCCGCAGTTGGAGAGTTGTAAATATGTAATCAATGCAAAACTTTTGTGTGTAAAATCATTAAAGTTTTCTAACAAAATAGAAATAGTATTTGTGTTTTTTTTTTCACAGCTTAGAAGAATGTATCTGTCACACTATGAATACTATTAACAACAACATAAATGATTTATAATTTATTCCAAAAGTTAGAACAACCAACTTTACTAAAGTGAAACAAAAGAACAAGCAAACAGTGGTCCCCATCCATGCCAGCTGATCCAAATGAATGGACAATTCTCACAACTGAATTCTTGGTGTTTGGTACCCTGGCAAAAGTCCGTATACAGAATATTTTCCTCCCACATTCAATTCAATTCAGTTTCCTTATATGGCACCGATTCACAAAACATGTCATCTCAAGGCACTTTATGGATGCCTCACATGCAAATAACTATAGATCCATAGCTATACACATCACCTTTAAGATTTTTTGAGGGTTTAATGGAGTCAGTCTTTGTGTTGTATTTTTTTTCAAGAAGTTATAAAAATGATCATCATTTTGGATGACAATTTTAACATTGTTGTTTTTCATATAAGAACAACGAATAAATATTAAATAGCATGCAAATGCTACATGATGATTTAGATTTAAGAAAAACGATTATCTTTCTTTGGAGTTCTCTTTGTTTAGAAATGCTTTTTGTTCTTTTCCTGCAAAGAAACTTATACCAAACCAGATATTTTTAATTAAATGTCAAAACCTTCTAAAAGAGAAAAACATTAGTGTACCTTCATCCAGTAGTTATTTTATCATTGTCTATTTACAGGTATATATATATATATATATATATATATATATATATATACCTGTAAATAGACAATGATAAAATAACTACTGGATGAAGGTATACTGTTTTATGACAGGATAAGCCTTTATTTTTTTTCTCATTGTCTTCAATTAGTTTCAAACAATCACAAATGCGGATCAAACAGAAGAATATATAAATAGGCGTTAAAGAAAGAAAAAAAAAACATATCAAAGCAGAGATGACTCAGTCTGACATTTCTTAGTAAACTTAGTAATACAAATTTGTCAATAGGGGGAGCTACAGTTTCATTGCCTTTTTATGCCTTTAGTTTGTTTTTTTACACAGATGGTTCCTCAATGGTTATAAAGTCTTAGTGAACAAATACATGAACCATAAATAATGGGTAATTTATATCATTAAAATTAATCATAATCTATGTTTAATGCTAAAATCTCATTGATACACTTCTGGTGTTGTGATTGTTTTCTAGGGATTGTATCCAATCCACATTATTTATATAGCACATTTAAAAAACAAAACGTTTCCAAAATCCCTCACACACAACAATATAAAAAATGTAAAACAATAAGCGTAAAAAAAAATAAGTTAAACAGTTAAGTTAAACAGTTAAAATAAATACAATAAAATAAATACAAAGCCACAGGAGAACACACAACTTACACAGTGCTAAACGCCAGAGAATAAAAGTGAGTCTAAAGATGTGATTTAAAACACTCCACATGGGGGCCCGTTTACACACTCCTGTAAAATATTAAACTAAAATTCTTTATTTCTGTAATATTAATTACTGTTTACCAGTTCCGAGTGTGTATAAGTGGGAGCATTTTTATTTCAACATTTCAATATATTTTAAAAAGTCAGAAAACACTTTTTTTTTTCAATTTGTAGAAATTAAAAATATTTTGAAGAGCACATCTGTCATGTTTTTGAACTGAAGGTTACTCCGCACCTGTCATTAGCTATATGTTTGACTCAGTTGTACACTGTGCTGGTAAGCTGTGGAAATCCCCTCCACAGTCATGATACATGTTTTGTTTTTGTCTCACACAAACCCCAATCAGCTAATCGTGCCGACTCGCATGTTTTTTTTCTCACTCAGTCATATGATAACTCAACACTTTGTGGCTGAGGACAGTTTTGACAGCTAAACACAGAAGTCAAATGAATTTTACACCTGTGGGGAGAGTTATTAACTCTAAAATGAGGCCTGCCACACAAGCTTTTCATATTGGGATTAGTGTCCAGGTAGGTACATGTAATGAGTGGGTGGAATGTGGGTAGTCCGCCTCTGACACAAACCGTTCCATCCTCATCTTATGAGGAACTTTCAGGATCTCGTTTTCTCAATGCAGGAAGAAAAGTTGAATTTGAATTCCCCACGTGTGGATTCCCTACATGTTGCTGGAAGTCTGTACCAGATGACTCATAGGAAGTTATCAGCAGCACTGATGGCATTTGGTGGGCTGTCCCATTTTGACATTAAAGGGGAGGGGACTTACAGACAGAAATATCAAAGAAAACTACTTCAACTCAGCTGTTATTTAACATTTTATCTTTTACAACACAATATTTAAAGTTTATTTATTATCATACAGTATTTGATTTTGTTTACATTTTTGTCATGTCACAAACTAAGAGTTTGTTGGGACTTTATGTCATATACCCACATAAAGGACATGAATGAAATAAGAGTGCAGCTGGATAAAGTAGAATAAAAAAAAAGATTTTTGGCTTTGAAAAGAAATCCAGAAAGTGTGGGGGGACCTATATTATTCAGTCCATCTTACTCTAATACTCTGATCCAATCCTTCAGAATTCACTTAATTACCACAATAGACTAAATGTGCAGATGAAAGGGGAACTTATGACTCAAAATAAACTGCTTTTGAGCCTCTTATCAGGTTTTCTTCCAGGATTCCCCTGTTTTTCATCCATCTTCCTCTCAACTCTGATGCGTCCCTGTCCCTGATGAGAAGCATGGGTATACTCCTGCACCATGATGCAGCGACCACAACCTTTAGTCATGATTGGTACTGGGGGAGGCGGTGTATCAGTCTTCTGCATCATCCACTCTTTTAATGTAAAAGTCCCCACAAAAAAAAAAATCAAGGTTTGAACAATGAAAGTAAGAATGCATATATGAATATTTTTATATCAAAACAATGTTTGGTAGAAAAATAAATGTTTATTTATTAATAAAATTGTCTAAAATCTTTAGTTAAAAAAAAAACACATTAAAGCCAGATGCATGCATTTCAGTAGCAAAGCAGCCTTTTCATTATTAAACCCAAATATTATAGATCATAGGTGGCTGCATCTGCTAATTTAACCGAATTATTCCCTTTGTTTAGCACACAGATTTATGTTTTTGTTTCATTTTTATGGAATTAAAAAGGAAGTGGTGCGGCTGAAATGAATCCAGCTGACCATCCGGAAGAGAAGTCATACAATCTCTCAAGGAAATCCATCTGTCACAACACTGAGAGAAAACCGTTAGACCCAAATCCGTTCAGAATTACTAATCAATCTGACATGAATGATTTCAAAAGTTTTGGGCCAGAAAAAAAAAAAAACTTTTAAAGCATTTATGGAAAAATGGGTATTCAAAATCTTCACAGAAAGGCACTTAATCATTTTCTTGTTTTTTCTATCATTTTTAATCTCTTATTTACAACATCTATGCTCTTTTGGTAATAATATCAAAGATAATTACATTTTTTTTTATCTTTGTTTTTCAGACCTCTCTGATTTCTTAAAGACATTGTTCTTTATTACCCACTACTTCAAAATGACCCCTTAAAGTAGACTCACAGTGGTGAATCATCACAGAGCCTTAATTGGACATTAAGGCTGACTTTCAATTCAAAATTACTTTATTGATCCTGAAGGAAAATGAGCTGTTGAACCTCTAGAGGATTTTTAATGTTAATAGCAGGAGGATCTTCTGTAGCGGTTTGTTTTGCAGCATACCAGAGAAAGCCTTTTGACTGAAGAAACTAACTGGGTTACCCATAATAATCATAAAATAAAATAAAAATGTGTTTGTAAAATCATCTCAAGAGAAGTTCCCTGAACAGAACTGCTCTCCTTTACCAGATTGTTGAACTTTTTTTTTAAGTCATTTGCTCTGATGCTGCTGCTCAAACAGAGGATGGCAGAAAAGATCTCTCTCCACAACAAACTTATAGAAGATATGCAGCATCTTGCTGCAACCACTGAAGGACCTAAGCTTTCTTAAGAAGAACACTCTCCTCTGTCTTTTCTTGTCAAAGTCTTTAGTTGCATCTTATGTTTGGTCTGTTCCTGTTTCCTCTGAAATCTACAATCATCTGACTTGTAATTTTTTATATTTTTGTTAATTAATTGATGAAAATGGACACTGTTTCGTGGCATCTAAGATGCATGAATAAAGGTATTTTTAATTTAAGGCAAAACACTAAAGGGTAGTTCCTAATTGACACGAAGAGAATATGAAATTTATTTTTGAGGCAGACTTTTAAAAGGACTTCCTGAGTAGAACCAGTAGGGTCAAATTTTTTGATGACACTGGGCATAATATCCGGTATTGGAGCAGGGGAGATGGGGTTATTATTTACAGTTCATATCAGTAAATGCACAAGTAAAGGTGACTTTTTTTTGGGAAAATTTCGCAATTATTTTTGCTGAAAGAAGATGGATGATTAATTAGTCATGTTGATAATGACAATCATAGTTACAGGGCAAATTTAAATGGCCATCAAACGCTGGCCTGCAGATGTTGAAAGCCTTAGTTCTAATTAGTGGTGGTTGGTTCTCCGTATCAAGGAATCCTTTTTAGAGAGATTTATGTGAAAACATAAAATGTCCACCTTCAACATATCTATGGTATGTCATTTAATAAGATAAGCCTGTAAGAGAAAGAGTTAATAATGCATAAACTAAACAAAGATAAAGTAATGCAGCAGCTACTTTATCACATGCTGCACAGTATAAGGTTGATGCAGTTTTCCCTCATGATAGGACATATTCAGATCTCTGAAGGTGTTTCTAATGGCAAAAAAATGTAATAAATACAAATAAACCCATGAAAAGCAAAAACAGTTGGCAATGTTTTAATGCTATAGCAAAAAAAAAAAAAGTTGCTGCGATAGAAATGATAAACCAACAAATATGAACCTGTTTTAATCTATACAGGGCAGAATTTTAAAAATGTATAATATTATTGAAATATAAGTATAAGTTATGTTTAATAAAGCCAGAATATTTATTTTCTCTCATCAATTTTGTTTTTCTAATTTATAAAGCAACACAGCGGATACGGTTTTATTAAGATTAGATTATTTGTTTTCTATGTCAAAACATTGTAATTGATCTAAAAAAATCAGTTTTCTCGTCAATTGCTTGATTTAAAGGGTTAATGTCGTCATTTTGATTGACAGCCGTATTAGCCAATCAGCTTCGGAGTTATACCGACAGCTACTGCGTTAGTTTCGGGAAAGGGAGTTAGTTATCAGGAAGGGTTAGCAGCCGCCGAGGAAGGTCTCGGTGTCTTCAGTTTAGAAAGTTGACATTAAATTTCTCTACGTTGTAAGCCGGTTTGGACAGAGGAATATATTTGGGAGCTGTTTTCGAATCAAACCGATTAGAAGGTATTCACGAAAAACGCCGAGAAAAGCAGAAACTCCGTCGACACGTCTCAACTAATGTACCACTAAACGAAAGGAAGTAACTTGCCATCCTGGCGGAGTTTGTTTGGTGAGTAAATGTCAGTTTAATTAATAGTCAGTCTCTTCTTTCCATCTGAAAACACCCACTCATTAAATATATTTCCCTTTGGTTGGTTTTTACGGACCTTGCTATCCAAGCTGCTAACATGCTAGTGTTAGCTGACACACTTTCGATCAGTCCGTCCATTTTCTGATTTGCTCTAAAGGCAAACAGACGCTTAGATGCACCATTAACGTTTTCTTCTAGATTATTACCACGGTTAATAAACGAAGAATTGGAAATAAACTTCAGGATAACCGATATTTTAAGGCTGGCGTGAAATATTTTTTTCACCTGATTTTTTCCCCTTTGCTCTTTAATGCAAGAAAACGAAAATAAATGTAGAATAATCACTTTCGGGCCGCTTCAGTAATAAATTTCGTTTAATTTCGACTGTTAATTAACCAACAAGGGATTCCCCTTAAAATGGAAATGGTTATTACCTTAATCCTATTTTAAAGATGCAGTTACCTGACATTTAGACAAAACTAGAGTTTACTAAATATTTTAAAAGAACAGCTTTTCCTTTAGATTTGACTTTTTTCGTTTTTGCAATTTTTGATAAATACACAAGAATATATTTATAATAATTTATGACTACAAGTTAAGATACAAACGATACGATACGAGTATATACATAGAATCTAAGTTTGTAATGAACCCCTTTTTCTAATTATTTAATATTTTGATTTATTTGGAGGGATTCTGTGATCTAAATCTTTAAATTAAAGGAGGAAAGTAAACAGACCGACTTTATGCACCTGAGATACCACAGCTTCTGCAGCATGTTCTCTCTCCACAGTGGTTGTTTTTTTATTTTTTTATTTAGTGGTTTAGCAGCTTTTACCAAGTGACACTTTGTTCCATATTTTGGCATAATCTGATAACTCAGTCAAACAATGTAAACATTGTTGTTTTAGGAAGTGGAGGTGTTTAAATTACATTTCAACAACAACAAAAATACTTTCGAAGATGTTTTAAAGGAGATTTACTTTTGTGTTTATGATTTATTTTATTATTATTATTTTTTTTAGAATTCTTAAATCAAATGATATACATAACAGATATGTTTTATAAGAAGTGAGGTTGAATTGGAGCTGTTACTTAACCCAAAACTAACCCTGTTAGTTTTGGCTTAACTAAATATACTTAAGATCAAATGTCACCAGATGCTTCATTCTAATTGATTTAATGGGCATAAACATTGTGCTAATTGATAAAAGACCATATAGAAGATTACCTTATGACCTTATTGATGTATTTCTAATTTACATTAATTACTTGGCAAAAAATGAATCGTATACATCTTCATTTTTTTAGGGCTTTTCAAACCTCTTATGGTCACCGTCTAAATGTAAAAAGTCAAACAGTGCCACATAGTAAAACCTTAAACTGCTTGATATCATGAAAATGAACATGAAGTGTCTCAAAATAATGTTTACTTTTAACTGTTAGCATGGTTTTATATTTTGACTTTATATTTGATATTTTTCGATTTCCATCCTAATCATCTTAATTTAAGCACTAAAAGACATGTTGGCAAGTTGTGACTGGAATAAACTGGTGTGTAAAATGTGATTCGATTTTACTTGGAGATGACTATTGTGATTTGTTGCATTCATATCAAATGAACTGAACTGATAGAATGCTGTAGGGACATTAACGAAGGCATGAGGGGCTGTGGAGGTCTTTGGATGTTTTGGAAGTAAAACCCTCCTCCTCTGATGTATGACTACTCAGATTTGTCCAGGAAGAACTTCGCTATATTTTTGGTTTCATAATGTAACTGGAGAAGTAGGTAGTATAAATATAGTATAACTGAAAAAAAGTTTTATGGTTTCTTGTTGATTATTGCAATCAGTATTACATTACACTCCCAATATGCAGGTAAAGGCCTAGACTTTCCTGTGTTCCAGGATACAGCTGCTCAGCGTCTTCACGCTAAGGTAGAGGATACTTTCAGTCATTTCTTTAAATTGAACTCTGAGGCATCTGTGCATGATACATTTTGGCCACACAGACGGTCACTTAGTGGTTGGTGGTGATTTTAGGCTCTACAGTCAAGCAGTGTTGCAAAGAATGTGTATTTTTTTCCCCTACAGTTTTATGAAAAGAAAATTTTAAAGCCCTTTGGACAGCTCTGAAAGCTTTATGCAAGGTTTTCTGAAATACTATATTGATCCAAAAGGGACATAATTAAAAAGTCAGTTGAATAATCTTTTTGAATTCTATATTTTCTTATTTGAGGTGGTGTTGTGGGCTTTACAGCGTTAACATAGTTCACACAGGGCTCTGCCTGCAGAACAACCTCCTCCAGAGGAATAATGATGCACTGCAGCCAGCTCTGAATGTGACACAGAGTTAGTCATTGTTCATGTATCACACATTCCTCATCATAGAGGTCCGTTCCATATATTTTTATTGGACAATGAACCATATCATCACATTATTTTCTTGTAGAGCTGCTGCAGCTCATCTTTTCCTCTCACTGATAACAGAGTTCCTTATCGGTACCTTATCTAATGATAAACCTCCGATGAAACTAGTTTCACCTGCTTTAAATTGCTCATTCTCTCTGTCACAACCGCTCATAGGTCGGTGTTTGTAGATTGGTGTTGCTCTGATGGGACTAAGTTGATTGTCAATCGTTCATTTGATTCCTCTTTTGCTTGTAAACATCATGTAAGCTGTTATGACCCTTACTCCAGGTTTAGCGGATGTTTTCATCATCAAGTCCTACTGCAGAATTGGTTAGGTGGGTGAAGAGTTTTGTTTTGGGTAGCAACGATAGATTATTTCATAATCAGTTGAATCTATCAATTATTTTTGATTAACCCATTTAGGCCGGGAAAGCATTACCGCATTTCTACCATTCAAGCCGGGGGCGCTGTTGCGTAATTCTACCATTGACGCCGGGAGAGCATATAAGTCAAGCAAGAAGAAAGAAGTTTTTTTTCAAGCACACATGGAGGAGTTTGACAGAGAAGAGATGTCGGAAGGCAGTGATTTTGAGGAGTGTGTCGGCTTTGATGACGGTATAGATGAAAATGATGACTTTGAACGCGCTGAACCAATCGAACTACCACCGCAATGCACGGAGTGTTTTCAACCGCACACCTGGAGTGAAAGTTGATTTGCCTGCAGACGCCACACCGCTGCAGGCATTTGAGCATATTTTTAATGAAGAACTTTGGATGCATCTTGTTACCGAGACGAATAGGTACAGTGACCAAACAAACCAAACTCCAACAAGAGCAAAGATGGCAAAGTGGTCACCCGTGACTGTGACGGAGATGAAGACATTTATTGGGCTGTGTATGGGCATGGGACTTCTTGTGTTGCCAGTAGGCTACGAAGAGATTATTGGCGACAGAGTAAACCTCTCTTCAGGACGCAGTTCCCCCAAAATATGTCCCGGGACAGATTTGTGGCCATCTGGAGGTAAGTTGTATGCAATTTATAACACAGACATATGCATTATTATGCATAATAATACTGTTAATAAGTAATCATCAGATAGTTATTTATGTAATGTTTGTTCTTTATTTTAAAAACGTTTTATATTGCACATTCTCAATGAAGACATGATTACATATGGAAAAAATAAAGGTTGAATTTTTTATTTTTTTTATTACTGCTTTTCACTTTTTTTTTTTGGAAGAATTTCAAAGATAAAATATATTTTGAGTTCTATCTGCTACAGAAGCTGAGATATCAATAATTTACTAGGCGTTGACACAGTTGCTGAATTTACAGAAAAACTTCAGGTTTTAGGGGTATTTTTTAAAATCGGCCATAGGTTTTTAAGGTGTTTTTTCCAGGCGTTTTAGGCCTAAATGGGTTAATTAAACAAATGTTTGAAATTTAGAAAAAAAAAACCTTTATTGCACATTTTAAATGGCTTGTAAATGGCAAAACATTTCTAGATATTAAACGTACATGTGCATAAAAAGCAGATTTTTTTTGTATTTTTTAGTTTTTTCTTAATTACTGATGTAGATAGGTCATTTTTAAGTCTTTGTACCATTAGTCTAAGTTACTATTCAATTTGATTACTAAATTAGTTGATTATTTCTATAATTGATTAATCATCTCAGCTATAGTTTTATTAGTTAACCTGTTACCTAATGCTCTTCCTTCCACAAAAGAAGTCCTAATCAGACTAGCAAGTTGTTTTTTTTTTTTAATTTGGAACCCTTCTCTTACTGTTGTTAGGTTTATAGCATTCACATATTGGTTGTAAACATTACACTGCTCATCAAAGTGCTATATTTAGCTCACATAATTGACTCAAGCTAGCAGCCCTGAAGGTGCCTGAATGTTTTAGTGTTTGCTCCAGATTGCACCTTTGGCTTGCAGAGCTGCTGTAGTTCAGAGAATCGTTGTCTGTAGCTTTCATCTGCTTATGCATCAGAGCCCGCTTTTCCTTCATAAGCTGAAAATGCATCATCCTGACTGATCGGAAATCAGGGGCTGGTGACAACAGGACGGATGGTGACAATCTGAGTTTTTACATTTTGTCTTGTTTTATTTTACATTTCTGAGGGTGATCAACTTGTTTTTTTTTTTGGCTTTTGCAGAAGTTATTATCAATCATAATAGAGCTAGCTAATGATTATATTGCTAATCAATAATCAATTACTGCTGGTCATTTTATTGATTATTCAATTGATAATCATAGAGGGAAAGGTTTCTTAAAGAAGTTATTTATTTATTTTTTTCCAGAATTGAACTAAGTGAAACTAAAGCTTTTCCACTTAAAGCAGCAGTCTGTAACATTGAGAAGAGAGCAGACTTCGACTGAAGATTTGAAGAAAAACAGGTTTCACGCCACTCCCCCACCCTCTCTGCTTCACTCATGCCCCACCTCCAAGCCCCACCCCTCTCACAGCACCTGCGCGGCTACCGAATGCGACCACAAGCATCCAAGCAGCGTACGCGGCATGGAGTGTGAACCGGTAAGAGCGATAACACTCACCTCCAAGCAG